ATCTTGCTCACAGTTCTATCTGAGTAGGTATAGCTTAAAGGGCAGTGGAAAATTTCTGTACATGGCAATTACCATTCAATATTAACAGAAGGTGGTGAACTAAAGTCCTAAGCGATGAATCCAGATGGAATACAAATTCTTCCCTCAAAAACTACTCTGTATTCTTCCACTATGCATTGGTCCATTTATACTTATACAATCTAACATTTGCTTTTAACAAAATTAAAGCTGGCATTTGACTGCACAGGGAATTGTAACTGGAAACCTAGCTAAATTATTGTAACACTTGCCTAAACAGGTGGGTAATATTAAAGTCTGAAGTGTTACTGCTTTCAGAGACACAATTCTTGGAAAAAGCCCTTTACACATGTCAGACCAGTTTCTCTACGCTCTTGTGCTTTAATTTTAGAGTAGCATTTGTTGTTGCATATTCTCTCACAGGCAGATATTTTTTTGTGTGTGTCCAGCAAGACATTCTGCCCCTTACTTCCATCCAGCCATGAAGGTCACTGGGTCATCAAACACTCACAGGGAGAGAACTCGTTAGAGGGATGGTTTGGGTCTCTTGTGATGTGAAATGGCACTTTCATGCCCACCAGCCTGCACCTGCTCTCTCACTGCATCACTGGATTGTGGCAGTCCCTTACATTAGGAAAAAATCTGTCTTGGCCTCCCTCTCTGCATTAATTTGAATCTTCAAATTAGGCCACAGCTCAAATTAATTCAAACCACCCAAGGTTTTCAGCTAAATATTTTAAGTTTCCCAAGTCCATTATTTTATTTACTCTTCAAAAATGCTGGAATCATATTAGAAAAAGATTTATCTGAATGGCAAGCAGAAATAATTGCCCAGGCAGGTAAGCCTATAAAGCATTAAAATTTATCTTAATACAAAATAGAGGGCCTAGTTGTGGCACTCTGCATATTTGTCTAACAGACATGTAACAGAGAAATTGTCCAAATGAGCTTAATAAATCTCTTTCTTAAACTCACAAAAGACCACATACTCACTTCCATAATTCTATTAGAGTCTGCTCCTCTGGAGGAGATAAAAGAAGAGATAACCTCTCCATTCAGAATATAAAATAGCAATTGTTCAGCTGATGATTGGAATTTTTCCAGTAGAAGGACTTAATTATGGAACAAAATTAGCTCAATCTGACCTTTTTAGAGAATAATGCAAAACTAAGTTTTTTGCAAATGTCTTCCTGGAATAACTGAAATAAGGAATAATTTACTTCCCTCTTTTTACAAGAGCAAAAGGTGGCAGAATATGATAGCAGCGTTCTTGGTGAGATGACAATCCAAAGATAATAATAAGACAGTATGTGCAGAAAGAGATAATATATTTTAATAGACTAGCTGATACAGTTTAAAAACAGAGAAGCTTTCAGACGCACAAGACCTTTTCAGCAAGAGCAGGGTTCCCTCAGCTACTCAAAATTGCGAGCGTAATAACTAGATGGTGTAGTGGTTGTGTCATAGGAATGCACCAAAATGTATGGTATCTATATCCATTACACACTGAAAGCTTCTCTTGGGATAAAGACAAAACATATTGTTCCAATCTCTGCTTTATCTCTGTGATAAATAGGAGTAAGTACCTGCACCCACAGACCAGCAGGCTGGGGATGATGCTGGTGTTAAAGCACTTCCCTCCAGGTCTTTAGTTCTGTCATTTATCTGTGTTGAGGCACTCCTCACTAGGAAATGAAAAAAAGAAACCCACAAACTGGAAAGAAAAACCTTATCTTTTTATCAGTCCCATCTCTGATTTCATGACATTCTGAATGCTCCTAAGCCATGCTGATACCACGGCATACAAGAAAAAAAAGGCATGAACAGGTGGTGATATTAAAAGGCTTCTTATGGTTCTGAAAAATGAGATAGAAATGTTTCGTGTCATGAAAGTCAACATCAATCTTCATCCATCTTGTGCAGATATGGAAATCAGCCAGTGTGGTTCTTGCTGAGGAGGTGTGAGATATTTCTTTTGCATCAGAGCTGTTGCTCTGGACACAAGTCATAATTTGTTTAATATAGATGAATGAGGAGAATATTACTAACACTGCCTTCTTTCCTTTATTTTTTTTTTTTTTAATAAACTGAAAGCTCCCCCTCCTGGCACATTCCCTGAACTGAATGCAAGGTTCCTGACATCTACTTTTAGCAACAAGATGTTCATGAAGATTCTTTAAAAGTAGTGTATTTATAGTCTCCCAAGGATTTCCCATTTCCCCATCCAGCTATGGGACTTGATATGAACTGATTTGACAGCAGGGGTTTGCCCTAAGGCTTTGTCTGTAATTTTAATCTGTTGCTTTTCCAGGCAAAGACTTATGGTTTCTACTGTGCTGCGTAGTATACAGAGTAAAGAAAACAACTTTTTCAGAAAGTTTGAGTGTTCACATTTGTGTTCCTTCAGCGTGATCGGTGTAGCTCAGCTATAACCGCACCATCTAATTTCCTAATAAATGCCTTGGAATAACTCTGAGAAATCTACTGGATCTTGTTGAAGCAATGCTCCAGCTCTGCTGAGAGCAGATCCTGACCAGGCTCAGGGAATCTGAAAGCCAGGGAAAGCAAAAAAAGCAAAGAGGGACGTGTTTATGTCACAGTTTTGGTAACTGCTGTAACTGCTCTCATCTCATTGCTGCCTGTGCTCGGGGACTGCCAGTCCCTCTAATCCCTTGAATCAGTGCTGGCACTTATGTGCTTAATGCAATGAACTGATTTGTCACTGAATTTCCACAACCATACACTTGTGCAAAGAAAGGGAAGACTTTCCCAGCTTGTACAGCCACAGGATCCTGTAGCTCCCATAAATTCCTACGTTGTGATTTTGTTACAGTCCCGGTACCATCCCTCAGCTCCAAGCAGGCTGACAAAGGCAGTGACACTGCTTAGGGAGCTTTCATTACATTTTCCATCATATTCAAAGACATCATCTCTCCATGTCCTTGAAATTATTTATGGGGGACAACATTTTACTGGAGCATGAAGCCAAGAATGAATGCTGCTGTGCAGGCAGGACTGTGCTGAGGCCATGCTTTCACGTGGCCACGCTCACCAACCCTCTGGCCACACGGAGCAAAGTGAAGGAGTGTGAAGCAGAGTAAAATAATTATCATCATAATGGTTTCAACTCAGTGCTGAGCTGCAATAGTAAAGTGAGAATGAATTAAATGAATTATGTCTTCCTTTCTAGTCTTCTCCTGAATACCAAGGGGGTATTTTCTTATATGGTAGCAATGCTGCTTTGCTTTTTATGCAGTTAGGTAATAAGCATGGCAGGTTTCAGGTGTAGAAGAGTGGGTCTTTTAAAGTCTAGAATGGAGTAACAATTTACTACAGATACAATGAATGAAGTATGTCTATTATACTTGGTACATTAGATCTGGAAGTGGGAGAATTGCTGGCCTGGCACCTTATGGCACTTTTCTCTTCCCTCTCTGTGGTTACGAAAATCAGGATTGACCTACACAAACAAAGCTGCTCACCCTAAACAAAGCAAATTTTAGCTGCTGAGGCAGTGAGGCCAATGAACTTCCAGTGCCATTTGCAGCCAAGAAGGGCTGTTAGTTTAAATGTCTCTATGCATATGGCAGAACATCAAATGCAGGCTTGAAATTTGAAGCCAAATCAGAGTAATAATAAATTTTAAAATGGCACATTCATTATATCCATGAATATAGGTACACACATGCACCTATCTGTATTCTTGTTAAATCTGCTATATAGATGTATATACACACGTGTCTTAGAAATGTCTTAAAAGCTGCTTTTATAGTCATAATGAAAGAGTAGGACTCCTTTGAGAGCCATTTGTCTGCAAAACTACTGTAAACTTCCTTTGAGTAGGCTGTCTGCACTCAAGAGAGTTGAATCAGTAGAACTTTGACGAGACTAGAAGACCCACTGATATCTAATTAATGTGGAAATAATTGTTGTAATCGTTGCATTTCTCTACAAAGCATGTACTGAAAAGCAGTTACACAATTTAGTGAGCATCAAATCAGTTTGATATGCAAATGGAGGTATGGACTACTTCATAATGCTGGTAGTATTTAAACATTCGTTTATTAAGCTGAGAAAATTCAAAATGTCAACAGGGTCCAAAAGCAATGTCTTTCATCAACAGAGACTTTCTTCAGAGTTTTTACTGTGCATCTTTTAGAGTCAGTGGGCTCTAATGACAAGAGTAACTGCAATGCTAAATGTGAAGGGACTGCTGGGAGTAAAGTGTGGACCAGTCATTCCTGCACCTGACACATTCCAGCACTTTTCCTCCAGGAATAAAAGGGAGCAGTTGTAGTGCTCTCCAGATTACCCCTGAGCTCCTACCTTTTGGCTGTTAAGGGGTCATGGAAACATTGACTTCATCCATTTAATGTAGATTCAATTAACTCAGGTTAATGACTACGGGATGGAACTCAGGGAGCTGAGAGCTGCTCCCATTGTTCAGCCTGGCTTGTCCTGTGACATAAGCTGCATTTTTGGGTGTAGAAAAAAGTAAAAGACAATGAGTTGCCAGGACAGGATCAGACTCTCATGCAAGTGAAGTGTAATCACTGCATCTCAGGCACATGCAAAGCTCATGGCTGCATGGCATCCAGGTACAGAAAAGCAACACAGACTTGATCAAATAATGTACAGAACAACTGCATTTTGTCTGTTTTCTAAACTTTTAAACTCAGTACAATCAGCACAAAGTCCTTGGGAGTAATGAGCTGTGACCTGTTCAGATTTAGATGAGTGTTTTGCCTGGGATGTATCTTCATCTTTGCTACATATATTTATCATGGCCAAAAGTGTGGATATCAAATATTTTTTATTTCAGGAGAAGTGCAAAATTTCAAATTGTTCCCAGGGACTATGGAAAAGTATGTAGTTGCATGATATTTAATAGCATATTCTTCTGAAATCTTACTTGGAAGATTTTAACAGGATCACTCAGAAGAACCCTTGCTAACCCCTTCTCTTTTCATTTATTTTGACAGGATTTCTGAGCACTGGGGACCAAGCAGCAAAAGGAAACTATGGCCTCCTTGATCTAATTCAAGCTTTGCGATGGACTAGTGAAAACATTGGGTTCTTTGGTGGTGACCCATTAAGAATAACTGTTTTTGGATCTGGGGCAGGCGGTTCATGCGTCAATCTGTTGACTTTATCCCATTATTCTGAAGGTAACCGTTGGAGCAATTCAACCAAAGGTATTATACAGGTTGCAAATTTTGACAATTTTGGTGTCTGCATGCCACCACCATTAGTACTATGTGATGTTCTGTATATTCTCTTTGTTTCTATGAACTGTTGAGTTCAGCTCAGTATTAAGAAACTTTTTAAAGGCTGTACAAGCCTCCTTCTCCCTCAGCTCTTCTGTGCATGTTTAAATTTTGGGTCACTTTCTTCTTTTTCCTATGGAGCTTTGTAGAAACACTTTATAGCAGACTTCTGAACAGCATTTTCTTGGTGCATCATTTTTGTCTCTTTCCTACCTAAGGGTGTCTTTTTTGGAAAATCAGTCAGTCATGCTCACAGTAGATGGGGTCATCTATATTCAGACAGTTGTAAAAGGCGTGTTTAGTTTCTCCTGAGGAGCAGAATTTAAAGAAAACTAAAATGACAGAGTTTCTCTTTTCAGGCTCACAGCTGAATTGCTTAAAACTATTATTTTGTGTGAAAGAAACAATAACTAGTTCAGAAATCTTTTGTCTGAAACTGCATGAACTTCACTTGCTGTCATCTAATAAAAAATGGTTGAAAGTTTTGCATGCATGATCCAAAATTGTCAAAGCATCCAAGTTGCAAATGGATTTCCTTCTATATGTTTTTTCCTATTCCATAACTAACACCTTTTCTCTCTAGTTGAGACAGGTGACAGGGAATTAAAATCATGCTGTTTGAGGCACCCAACTTATTCTTTCTATGATTTTTGCACCACAGTTTCACAGAGTGTCTCTCATTTGCATGGCTATTGCTTATTGATCATGTTACTTTTGTCTAACTGTTTTCATATATTTTTATCTGTATTAGTTTTATCAGGGACACCACACTGTGCCCTGTGCATATAATCCTCCACTAATTTATATTGCTATATCTCCATGGGGGACTAATTGGCTGGTCATAAAAACATAATTCTGCTGACATTAAAAGAGCTGCATTTCCCCAAAATCATGTTACAAAGACCACCGAGGTCAATAGAAGTGATTCTTTAGACCATGCCATTATGCTTTTTTAAATGAGAGAAAAATATAACTCCTACAAGAAGAGTTAAGTGGAAAATAAGACTGTGGTCTAAATTTTAGTCTATTTTCACAATCTGATTTTTAGTGTAATCTTTTTTTCTTCCGTAACTACCTGAATTTACATAGGAGTTATTTAAAAGAAGATGCTTGTAAAATCAGGATGGAAGCATTACCTCACTGCACTGTGACCTGAGGGTCTCAATGCACCATCTTCTTTCATCAGAGCTCTAAAAACCAACTTTCTCATTAAGGATTAACTGCAGGTTGAATGAGGACACCTGGTTTATCTTCTCCTAATTCTTTGTGTTAAAATCAATCTTCTTGGTGTAACATGACATCAATGCAAAATGCCACATTGACAATATTTGGACAGTCATGTGTTGCCTTTATCAGGAAATGATACCCTGTCATATCCCAACACATGGCCAGAATTCTGCCAGGACCAGAATTTGTTTGGGGAAAAGAGAGGCACTATGATGCCAACACAGCAGATCAAGGCATTTTAGAGGGGCCTGAAGAAGGTTCAGTAAAAGTAAATTTTTGAGGATTTCTTGTAGGAGCAAACTCATGCTTTGATGAAATTTGGATTAAACAGAACAACTCACCACGCTCCTGTGTTATGTTTCATTTGGAGGTGGTTAGATCTGCAGTAAAAAAAAAAAAAAAGAAAAAAAGAAAATATAAATTGGTCAGGTTCAAATAAGTAAAGTTATTTCTTAACATTTACAAACTCCCTTTTTGTTTCATGGTGTTTTACATTTACATATGAGAGGTGGAGGACTTTTTACAAAAGCATGCAGTGATAGGACGAGGGAGAAGGGCTTCAATCTGACAGAGGGCAGGGTTAGATCAGATATTATGAAGAAATTCTTCCCTCTGAGGATGGTGAGGCCCTTGCACAGGTTGCTCAGAAAAGCTGAGGCTGCCCCACCCCTGGAAGTGTCCAGGGCCAGTTCGGATGGGGCTTGGAGCAACTGGGATAGTGGCAGGTGTCCCTGCCCATGGCAGGGGGTGGAACTGGGTAAGCTTCAAGGTTCCTTCCAATCCACACCATTCTGGGATTCTGTTATTCTAGGATTATCAACCAATCTCTTTCATAAGAATAAATTCAGAAACTCTCTTTGCTTCTGTTATTTCCCTCTGAAAGATTCCCTTGGCAGTTGAGAGGAGGAATTCAGCCTATTTCAAGGTGGAGTTGTTCACAGCCACCCACCTGCAAGTGGGCAGAGCAGCACCCATCTACAAAAAGTGTTCTCAAAATATAGATGAATATATGCAAATTATTATTATTTACTGTGGTGAGACACTGAATAAGGGTCACAAAGCACTGTGGCCCACTGAACATTTAAATATTTTTTCCATCAGTCTGAAGCCCATAAGCAATAATAATAATAATAATAATAATAATAATAATAATAATAAACATTATCAGGTAAAAATGTAGTTCTCCATCCTGTGAGGTACAAATTTTTGCCACGAATTCTGTGACAGAATGCAAATAATTTTTCATACTGTTCATTTTTCACCAAATGGTTTGAGTGGAGGAATAGCTCTGTCAGCATTCTTCAGCACAAGGAGGGATGTTTAGTCTCATTTCCTCAGATGGTTTTATGGCCAAAGGACTTGACCACTTTTACTTAACCCAGCATCTGATGTTTAGGTAGCACTTAGCAAGCCACAGTGTTTGAATCAGCATTTTCTTACACATAGCTTACACTTTCTGTCCTTGTTCAGACATATTTAATAGAGCAATAAAGTTAGATTTACACAATGTGCAAAAACCCACACACATTATGAATTATCATGAAATACATCTTTGTGAAAATTCAGCTTTGTCATTTAGTTACATTTATTACAATGCCTGGATCCTCTGTGGTAATTCTACTGACTTTGAGCTGATTTATACTAGCTCAATATCTGACCTTATAAACATGCAAATATATTTTTAGCTGTTTATAGCTCAAGTTCATTCTTATTTTTACTCATATCTTGAAAGAGAATAATATCTTGGATATGATTTCTCATAAGTTTAAGAGACCTAAGTTTACACATTTCAGTCTCTACACCTATCTAATTTGATAACTTTTCTATTGGGACCTAATACAATGATTTACATCATTGAATGATTTAAAAATTCCTGAGAAGCTTGTAAAATGTTTCCTGCCAGCAACAGATTCCAACTTATTTTTGAGTGTACAGAGTCTGGTGCTACAACAGAAGCAGTAAAAGCATTTCTGATTTGATTTAGAGCCTAGGGAGGTTTTTTATCAATAGAAATATGTTGCTTATCAAAGCAAAAGCCATCTTGTGCATAATTGGAATAAATTTCTGAGGTAAGCTGAGAGCCTTGACTCCAGTTCCTCAAGTGGGAGTATCCAGCTATTCATCAAGCACTGGACCTGGTGGAACTGCGTGATGCCAGGTGTCACTTTCAGTCCCTAAGTGACTCCATCAGAGACAGTGGAATGACTCCAGGTGCCCATCAGCACAAGTAAAACAAAATTTTGACCCATATATCTTAAATCAGCATAACTTTTGAACATACAGACCATTTTGTATTACCCAGAGTGACCTACAGAAAGTAGGGTCCAGTATAAAATATTTTCCAGTAGTTTGTGCAAAAGTTATGATATTGAAATGAACTTCTGTGATAATGAAAAAAACCCAAACTCCTCACAAAACAGCAGAAAGGCCACCGTTACCTAAATATTGTCTAAATACCTATTAAATACAGCCTAAATTACCTAAATATAGTTTCTGAGCAATATTTTACACAAGGTTCAGATTTATAATCTCTTTCAGAACCCAAAGTAACCTCCTCAAATGGAGTGGAAAAATGCAAAGGGAGCACAAGAAGTATCAGAACAAGGATGGAGTTCTGATTACACTAAATCCAATAGCAAAATAATTGCATTAATTCACTTACTACAAGAGGGTGAGGTTATCATCCATGACATGTTTTAAAACTCCTTACAGAAGGGAGGGAAAACATAAATTTTAACGCATTTTGTTATTTCTTTGGGTAGAATTCCCAGGTCCAGAGAGATAATTAAATCAGCATAAATTGAAGTTAAGTGCACTGAAGACTTTGGGATTTACTGCAAGTTTATATGCAGTGCCAGATCATTCTCCCTCCCTTAAATGAATACCTGAACATATGTTTAAATATCTGAATTGCAAAGCTAAACAGTGTAAAATACATAATTTCCCTTTTTATGTAAGAGTGATCAATATAAACCTGCCTTTAAAAAGCTCCTTACAAGAAAGGATTTTGACTTAGACACTTATAAATTTAATAGCTGCCTGGTACCTTCTCATCTATTTCTACAGAATATAAACTTTTGCAGTGATACACAATTTAAAAGCACTGCACCTTTCAAACCAACTTTAATGCCAAAGAAAACATTAAAAAGTGTAATAGATTTATTTCACACATAGTTTTATATATGCATGCTGATGATGGCTTGTACAATACCAAAAACTTCAACCCATTTCAGAGACTTGATGGTTTTTCCTCCAACCTATATGGTGCTTTTGTTTTAAGAATTTTTTTAACCTGATAGTGTTGTCCTACATAAGGTAATGCCACTCCTTTTTCTTCCTGAGTTTCTTTTGAAAATCTGGACTATATTGAGGGAGAATTATTTGCTTCAGCACATACTGCATTTATTTTATGCACATTACCTGTAGGTACAACAGCAGTCAGATCTCACCACCCTGTATATTTAAGTACTATTAAGATTCAGGTATCTCTTCTGTTACAGTTTTCTATTGTTTCAAAGACCTCCTTTGAATCTTTCAAAGTCTGTGGCTGTTTCAAGGTCGCTTCAGTAGTTTTCAAATATTTCTCCCCACAGGACTTTTTCAAAGAGCAATAGCTCAAAGTGGAACAGCTCTCTCCAGCTGGGCAGTTAGCTTTCAGCCTGCAAAATATGCCAGGATGTTGGCTACAAAAGTTGGTTGCAACATGTCAGACACTGTAGAACTGGTAGAATGCCTACAGAAGAAGCCTTACAGAGAACTTGTCGACCAGGACATTCAACCAGCAAGATACCACATAGCCTTTGGACCAGTAATCGACGGCGACGTGATACCAGACGACCCTCAGATCCTGATGGAGCAAGGAGAGTTCCTCAACTATGACATCATGCTGGGAGTTAACCAAGGGGAAGGGCTGAAGTTTGTTGAAAACATTGTGGATAGTGAAGATGGCATATCAGCCAGTGATTTTGACTTTGCAGTTTCTAATTTCGTCGATAACTTATACGGATACCCCGAAGGCAAAGATATATTGAGGGAAACTATTAAATTTATGTACACAGACTGGGCAGATCGGCACAACCCTGAGACCAGAAGGAAAACACTGCTGGCTTTGTTTACTGATCACCAGTGGGTTGCACCAGCAGTGGCCACAGCAGATCTTCACTCGAATTTTGGATCGCCTACGTACTTCTATGCCTTCTACCATCATTGCCAGACAGATCAGGTACCTGCATGGGCAGATGCAGCCCACGGAGATGAGGTTCCTTACGTACTAGGAATTCCCATGATTGGTCCTACTGAGTTATTTCCTTGTAATTTCTCCAAAAATGACGTCATGCTAAGTGCAGTGGTGATGACGTACTGGACAAACTTTGCAAAAACTGGGTGAGTATCAGATAATGGATGGTCTTGTATGCAAACTTTGGATGGAATGGCACTTGCTTTCTATTTGTTATCTTGGGAATTTCTCTGTACTTGTAGGATGAATAAGACATTAAGAATTGGATATCTATGTTTATTGTAATGTTCCTTGGCTCACTTACACGTTTTAGGAAAAAGAGGGAAAAATATCTTTGCAGACTTTCTGCGAGGAAATTTTAAAATGTACACAAAACTAATTAAGGAAACTCTAGAAAAGTGTAAAAGTAAGCATTTAACATATATGTAGAGTTAAAATCAGCTACATTAGTACCTGCCTTTGCCCTGCCACTGATACTTTCATTCCATGAGACAGAAAATTACATAAATATTGCATCAAATAGAATACAGTAGTATTAAGAATTTACTTATTTTAGTAGCATGTTTTGTCTTAAATTCTCACTTCTGACCATAAAATATGTGGCTTTAAACTTGAAAGTTTTGCCATTTTCATTAGTTCTTTTTCTTCCACTGGAGTTCAAAAATCTTTGTTACATTTGACCACTTATTTTTGACTATGCATTGTACTGAGTTGTGCTCTGTCATGATCCTTCCCCTCTGGAAGGCCACAGATGATTCACAGGAACAGAAATGCAGAGCTGTATAAACTTTATGCTTCTAAAAACAAGAAGAAAATCTTAATGTTCTCTCTCACTGGTCTCTCATAGACATTTGCCTACTACATCACCACACACCAGGCAATCTTCCCTCAGCAGCAAAAGATTTCACTGTGAGACGCAGATATTTTGGAGAAACAGGGAAGTCGCTGAAGTCTGTGTGAAAGAAGGGTTCTTTTGCATAATGCTGTTTTTAATCAAGATTATTAAGGCCTCTAATTTTAGGGAATAGCACTCTGCTCCGTCCAAAGGCAGTCTTAAACATTTAGTATAAAATCTTAATTATGTTAATTTTATAACTCCATTTGAAATGCTTTGTAACATTGGAGATATCTTTTTCTTGCAGTGACCCAAATCAACCAGTGCCGCAAGACACAAAATTCATCCACACAAAACCAAATCGTTTTGAAGAAGTAGCATGGACCAGATATTCTCAGAAAGACCAGCTGTATCTTCACATTGGATTAAAACCACGAGTGAAAGAACACTATAGGGCCAACAAAGTGAACCTTTGGTTGGAACTGGTACCTCATCTGCACAATCTTAACGACATTTCACAGTATACCTCTACCACAACTAAAGTGCCATCGACTGATAATACTTTCAGACCCACAAGGAAAAATTCTGTTTCAGTTACTTCAGCCTTTCCTACAGCCAAACAAGATGATCCCAAACAGCAGCCAAGCCCATTTTCAGTGGATCAAAGGGACTACTCAACAGAGTTGAGCGTTACAATCGCAGTTGGCGCATCTTTGCTGTTCCTGAACATTTTGGCCTTTGCAGCGTTGTACTACAAAAAGGACAAGCGGAGACATGACGTTCACAGGAGATGTAGCCCACAACGTACCACTACCAATGATCTCACCCATGCACAAGAAGAGGAGATAATGTCCCTCCAAATGAAGCACACTGACTTGGATCATGAATGTGAGTCCATCCATCCACATGAGGTGGTTCTTAGGACCGCCTGTCCCCCAGACTACACGCTAGCCATGAGAAGGTCTCCTGATGATATCCCCTTAATGACACCCAACACCATCACAATGATCCCCAACACTATACCAGGGATTCAGCCCCTACACACATTCAACACATTTACTGGAGGACAGAACAATACTCTGCCCCATCCTCATCCCCACCCCCATTCACACTCAACAACCAGGGTATAGCCAGACAAGACGAAACAAACTTTTATTTTTTGATGGATTACAGTAGGTGATATTACTGAAGATTACTTGGCTTTCAACCTACAAGACTCTTACTATTTAAATATGGAGGAATATTATGTGAATATACATATCAAGAACATTGGGGTTTTGAAAAAAATGAATTGTACATATATCAAATGAACTTAAGAAACAAACAAAACAAAAGAAAAAAAGAAACAAAAAACTAAAAACCCAACTGTTTGCAATTGCTTGAAGCAGTTGTCCTGAATGATACTTTTTCATTCACATTCAAGTATTAATTTTTTGAAGATTTAAGTTACATAATGGAATTAGGCATGTGCAACACAAACAGGAAAGAACTATGACTGAAAATTTTAAAAACCTATAAATATGCACAAGGGACACACTAATGGAATGTCAGATAATTTTCACCAATTTTTATTTGGACCTGTTTTCTTGTGTAGACCATATTTACATATTTGAATAAGTACACAAAGCACCAATGCTGTTAAGGCCTTAGAAAGGGGCTCATGCTGAAATCTGCCAGTCAGAGAAGTTTTACAGCCTGGCAGGTACAACATTATCACATAAGTGCTGTCAGTATAAAAGTTGTGGGAATAAAGGAAACTGGATATTTTTAGCACGATGTGCATGATAATTTATATGCTTGGTGGCTGTGCTGCTGATTAAGCCGTAATTAAAATTCTTCTCATCCCATTGGAGTTTTTAATAGAAGCTTTCTCCATCAATTGGCACAACCTAAAGAAGTTTTTTAAAGGGGCAAAAGTAATTACAGTAAAATATTTCATGGTAGCTTCTGAAAAAGAAGGGATTGCAACAGTTCTTAAAGATATTTATGGCATTCTAGGTATACAGTGGTGGACCCTCACTGATATGAATCCCAGACAAAAAAAATGTATACTATTAATGTTCTTTTTCCTTTCCACCTAAATAATTTCTGACTTTGAAATAACTATAACATTAATGGAATCTCCTTTGATTTATAAGGAGGACTTATAATTTGCTGTGATTTAGTTACAGAGTATTTTGTTCAAATTGATGAGGTAAAGTGTGTCCAAAAATTTAATTACAATGACATTTTGCCATTTAAAATTGCCCCAATATTACTGCTCTGATTACAACTTTCAGTTTATTGTTTCAACTCATGTTGCATGTTACAAAGTTTACTTATAATACTTTAATATAATGTTAATTCCCTTTTTACTATACATTAGCTTTGTCATTCTAATTAATTCTCTAGACCAGATGGCAAGAGTGTAGAAAAAGAGGGTATATGAGAACGGGGAGAGAGCCAACAACTGGAAATTTAAAAATCTGGATACTACATATATTTGTGTGATTTGAAGTGAATGTTCTAAAATCACAAAAAATTTTTCATTCCCCTGTTGCTTTCCAGTAATTCTATACCGTGATCCTTTCAAAACGTTTGTATATGTAATCAGATGTACATTTATATAAAAGAAATAATTGAGATGGACTTAAGAGCACATCCCTGATAAATACTTTCTCTCTTACCTGTACTATATTTCTATTAGACTAAAGTTATGTGATTTTTTTTTACATTTTTTCAAATTACTAGCAATTTTGATAGTTTGTAAGATAATGCGAAGAACTTTCTCTGACAAACTAACTGCAGTAACAGAAACATTTCTTTTCAGTTACTCTTTTTCAAGAATGAAAGCTTATTACACACAAAAATTGTATACTACTTGATGGAAAATTACTTTGTATTTCTTGGCCATATTACTGGTCACTGAGTGAAATAAAGATAATCTGGATAACGAATATTATTCCAATGTTAAGAGACCTGATCTTTGCTCATTAAAGAGCTAAAATGTTTATTGCTGTTTTGTCATTTTTTAATGAAGTAATGGTAACTGTCTCAAATAAAGAGTAATATCTTAAGACCAGTCTGGTTTTTGAAGACATGAGGATGCCTTCTACAATTAATAAAACTGCACATTTATAGGCTAGCCCCACCACAGCTATTTTTTACAGAAATATTGACATTGTGACTGTCATCACACTTTAATCTCCTCCAGATTTCAGGAATGAGTTAAAAATGCAATACTGACACCAAAACAAAAGGCGAGGAACAGGGCAAATTGAAATAAATCTGCAGTATTCCATGATGGGAAAGAAAAATCATCAGGGTTTTACTGGGTGATTGAACTCTTATTATAAAAGGTTGCTGAGAAGTTTAAAGCATGTTTGCTAACATTGAGCACAGACATTAAAAATTAAGCTGAAACCAAAATAATACTGCAATTTCAGTTATTTTACAAACCTATTTAACCAAAAAAAAAAAAAAAAAACCAAAAAAAACCCCCATGTACTTACTTAGTACTTTTTACAGGGCCCGGGGACTTATAATTTGCTGTGATTTAGTTACAGAGTATTTTGTTCAAATTGATGAGGTAAAGTGTGTCCAAAAATTTAATTACAATGACATTTTGCCATTTAAAATTGCCCCAATATTACTGCTCTGATTACAACTTTCAGTTTATTGTTTCAACTCATGTTGCATGTTACAAAGTTTACTTATAATACTTTAATATAATGTTAATTCCCTTTTTACTATACATTAGCTTTGTCATTCTAATTAATTCTCTAGACCAGATGGCAAGAGTGTAGAAAAAGAGGGTATATGAGAACGGGGAGAGAGCCAACAACTGGAAATTTAAAAATCTGGATACTACATATATTTGTGTGATTTGAAGTGAATGTTCTAAAATCACAAAAAATTTTTCATTCCCCTGTTGCTTTCCAGTAATTCTATACCGTGATCCTTTCAAAACGTTTGTATATGTAATCAGATGTACATTTATATAAAAGAAATAATTGAGATGGACTTAAGAGCACATCCCTGATAAATACTTTCTCTCTTACCTGTACTATATTTCTATTAGACTAAAGTTATGTGATTTTTTTTTACATTTTTTCAAATTACTAGCAATTTTGATAGTTTGTAAGATAATGCGAAGAACTTTCTCTGACAAACTAACTGCAGTAACAGAAACATTTCTTTTCAGTTACTCTTTTTCAAGAATGAAAGCTTATTACACACAAAAATTGTATACTACTTGATGGAAAATTACTTTGTATTTCTTGGCCATATTACTGGTCACTGAGTGAAATAAAGATAATCTGGATAACGAATATTATTCCAATGTTAAGAGACCTGATCTTTGCTCATTAAAGAGCTAAAATGTTTATTGCTGTTTTGTCATTTTTTAATGAAGTAATGGTAACTGTCTCAAATAAAGAGTAATATCTTAAGACCAGTCTGGTTTTTGAAGACATGAGGATGCCTTCTACAATTAATAAAACTGCACATTTATAGGCTAGCCCCACCACAGCTATTTTTTACAGAAATATTGACATTGTGACTGTCATCACACTTTAATCTCCTCCAGATTTCAGGAATGAGTTAAAAATGCAATACTGACACCAAAACAAAAGGCGAGGAACAGGGCAAATTGAAATAAATCTGCAGTATTCCATGATGGGAAAGAAAAATCATCAGGGTTTTACTGGGTGATTGAACTCTTATTATAAAAGGTTGCTGAGAAGTTTAAAGCATGTTTGCTAACATTGAGCACAGACATTAAAAATTAAGCTGAAACCAAAATAATACTGCAATTTCAGTTATTTTATAAACCTATTTAACCAAAACAAAAAAAAAAAAAAAAAAAACCAAAAAAAAAACCCCCATGTACTTACTTAGTACTTGTTACAGTGCCCGGTTTTAAATTAAGGTCTTTTTGTAGAAGCATATAAAATAGTCTTCAAAATCCAGGGTGGTCTGTGTGCAATTTCTGCCTGATGTGGTTGTGCTTTTAGACTGTGACCTGCCAATGTAAACCAATAAAAAGAATTGTCTGCCATCTGATAATTATTGTTTAATAAGAAGATTGTATTTTGCTATGTTGATGAAACAAAACAAAACAAAAAAAAAATACAAAAATATTGATGGCCATAAAACAAGGTATTAATGAAATATGATTTTATGTGCTTTTCTTAACTTTATCAAAACCAAAATAACTTTCTACTATAGTTTCTTTGTGGCCATATATCTATATATCTCTATATATACAGTATCTGGTAATTGTTTACTTTTATTAGTTACAAAATAAATGATTTAGGTAAACCAAGCATGACACTACACTTTATTTCTGTCAGCCAATAGTATTCAAAATGTGAAAGATGAAGGCAACAACACAAATTTTGTCACCACTGTTTGGAAAAAAAATAGTCCATTCATGTGATGCAGATACTGTGAATTATATTTTAGTGGCTACTTTATACTGACATTACAGCAGCTGGCTTTCCAAAAGTAAGATGGTGTCCCATGTTTTAACACAACATTGAGAAAGACCAAGAGGTGTTTTAAAGCTGAAATGAAAAGATAAGAAATGGTTTTGGAATATCTTCATGTGCTTCATGGAATATAAGTTTGTTCTTTTCAAAATATTTTATCTATTTGATTTGTTTTTCATGGTAGCATACACAAAAGCAAAATTGAGTGTGATATTTAATTTCTTGTATCATCCTTGGACCAGATTTCCAATAAAATGAGGATATCAGTCAGTCTTTGGAAGTTCAGTAAAAATATAAAGAGCCTGCATTTATTGATTTCACACTTTTGTAAATATGTTTGCAGACCTTTTTAAGAAAATGTATTCTACCATTTTGAGAAAAAAAAAATAACAATGGAATCATTGTCTCGTTTATCTATGAAAATTACAGGCAATATAATGTGCTGTGCTGACATTTCTAGGAGAAATAAAGCCGATAAAAAACGCATTTTGCTCAATGGTATCTCAGTTGGTTATACCTGGTGTTCTCCACCCACGGAAGACTTGCAAGGCATGGATGAACTTCCTGGATAAAATCCTCCACAGGAAAATGTAGTTGTTATTTTTGTTGTCTGCACTAAACACGGATTCCTGTGTCACAAGTCTTTAATTATTGGATGT